ATGGTAATGTTCAGAATACTTACACATGATAATGACCAGTCAGAATGGGCAGAGGATTTAGAGCAGATGCAAGGTCTTGGAGGCTCCCCTGCTAGGCTGAATGTTAACCCTTTAAGTGCTTGGCTATGAACAGGGCAGGCACTCCAAGCATGGGAGTCAGCACAGCTGGATTGGTGGCCAAGGCCCTTGGGGGGCAGTGGCAGTAACCAACCACTTTGCTGAAATTTCAGCATTTAAACTGGTACCACCATACAAGTGTCTAATTACCAACTGTGGTGCAGAAACTGGCCCTCGGGGTGCTTAAAGTCCATGAAGACACACATAAGAAGACAACAATCTGAGGCATAGAAGAGTCCTATCAAATTCAAATAAATCATAAGGACTCCTTTAAGAGTTTACAGGAGGAAGATGTTGCTGCGTGCTGATGAGTCCGATTCTGATTCCTAGTGGCCCTATAGAGGGACTACCTTATTTAACTTAGAAAGGCAGTGCAGTATAATGGTTAGAGAAGGTGTGTTCCAGAGACACTATCTGAGGTCCTGGCTGTGTAATCTTGAAACAGCTATTTAACATCTACGGATCTTAACTTTTTTATCTGTATATTGGGAATAAAAAGCAGTATCTACCTTATTAAGGGTATTTTGAAGATAAATGAGATAATTCATTTAGAGAACTTAGCACAATGACTAGGGAGCTCTGGTAGCATAGTGGCTAAGGTACTTGACTGCTAACCAGAAGGCTGGTGGTTCAAACCCACCAGCCACTCCTCGGAAGGAAGGTTGGGCAGTCCTACTTCCATAGTGATAACTGCCTCGGAAACCCAAGGAGGGGTCGCTATGAGTCGGGGCCGACTCGACGGCAAATAACAACAACAACAACAGCACAATGACTAGAAAATAGTAAACACTCTCTAAACATGGACTTCTTACTATGTTACTGTCATAGTCAAGAGATTTGTCTTAGAGGAGGCAGGAGTTGAGATTCCCCTTTAAGAGTGGGTAAGTTTAGGCCACTAGTGGAGGATGCAAGAAAACATGGAAGCAGAAGAGCAAAGGAAAAGAAGCCTGTTCAGGAAGAATTGGAAAGAGGTTTGACTAGGGCAGAATGAGCTTGTTATGGGGAAAGTGTCAAGAAAGTAGAAAGAAATTAGCTTGTAGAAGGCTTCATGTACAAGAACAGAATTTGCAACTTATCCTAAAAACCTATGAAAGCCATGATGGTTGTGAGCAGGGAAGAGAACTATTAATATAGGATAAAAGTAATTACTGATATATCATGAGCATTTGCCAATTGTCAGAGTGATTTTAAGCCCTCTATGTTCTTAATCCTTATAATTGCCCTATGAGGTGAGTAGAAATATTATCTCCATTTCTGAATTAGTAAACTTCTCAAAGTAACTTGTACAAGGTCACACAGCTGAAAAGTAGAAAGGTTGGATGTTAAACTGGAATTCTAGAAATACTGACCCAGTATTTATACGTAAAATAGATTGGAAGAGAAAAGAACTAGGTAGCAAGTTGTTAAACATAAAGAATTGACTGTGGAGTGATCCATAGTGTTTAAAAGACTCTTCCAGAAAGTGTCTCCTTTGAATTTCTCAACCATGCTTTCAGGTATTCAATGCTGACACAGCAACAGACGAAAGAACGCTTGCTAGACTTCAAGGGATTGGAAAACTAGCAACTGCAGGCTCAATCTGCTCACCACCAGTTTTTGTAAATAAAGCTTAATTGGAACCCAGCTGCATTTGTTCGGTTATGTCTTTTCTATGACCATGTTCATGGTAACAACCACAGAGTTGAGTAGTTGTGACAAAAACCCAATGGTTCATAGAACCTAAAATGTTTACTCTCTGGCCTTTTCAAGAAAAAGTTTTCCAGCTGAGTGAGAAGAGTGGAAAGACCTTGGGCTTTGATTGCTTCCATTTTGAGTTCTGCCACTAACTTTAGGCAAGTGGACTTGGCAAATCAATGTGCGAATAAATAAAGCAGTTACTGTGGACCCCACACAAAAGATGATGGACTTCAAAAATCTTAGAGGTTGGTCATCTTTAAACAACAGGTTCTAATAAACTGGTAAATCTGATAAATTATGTAGGATCAATATATAGGATAACTTTTTTTTTTTTTCTATTAAAGCTAAAACAAGAACAGTAAGCAAGAATAGGAAGGATTCAATCAACTTACAAAGACTGAGTGCTCCTTGCTGAAAGATTCCATTAGGTCAGCCAGTATAAGCCCTCATGAAATATTGGGTAGAAACTACCAGATCTAGCCAAGTTTTTCTGCACTTCACCATTACTGGCACTTCTTTTCTGAAATCAAATGCTGAATAAAATCACCAAAATATTCTCTCCTTTATCTGAAATGCAAATTTTTTAATGTATATTACTCATTCTAGCTGTTACTTATATAACCTTTTAATTATATCCTAGATTATCCACATATGTGTCTTCAACTAGATTATAAACTCATTGAGGGCAAGGACCGTACTGTGTACTACTGTGTATTTTCCATAGCCCTCAAATGAAGAAATGACTCATCAGTTGATTAGATGAATAAAAGAATAAGTGAATTAAATTTTTAACAATAGGTACAATTTGTTACAATAAGCCTTTCTCTCTGTTGGGTGCTTTAGATGAATTGGCTCTGATCCTCACAGCAAGATGAAAGGAGGTTATTGATGGCCCTCTGGGCTAGACAGTAAGTCCAGCTTAAAAACCTTAGGAGTGATATGAATGATAATGAGCTGGGCTATGACTTGAGATTTTCTCCATTTAGTTATAGGAAGGTGGTTTCCAATAACTGCACTGATGGAGTAAGAGAACAGTATACTGCCAAACCACAGAAGTGTCCAGGGAAGGCCCCACGGGGGCTCCGGATCGTCACTGCTGATGGAAAGCTGACTGCAGAACAAGGGCACAATGTCACTCTCATGGTGCATCTAGAGGAGGTAGGACAGATTCCTGTCTCCCCTCTGCCTCCTGGGGCCAGTGGTTTTCCCTAAGAAATCATGGTTTCATATGTATTGTCCTTAGTGTTCTTGAAGTTAAATGCTGTTTTTAAAATGTTATTCTACTTTTGTTTTCTATTTTGTTGTTGTTGTTGATGTTATTATTTCAAACTCTCTGACATATTTCTTCAACTATTTTCATTTCCAGTTGTTCTTTACTCTTAGTCTATCACCTCTTGGGGTTCAGTTTAGATTTAACCTTGCATATTACCACTTTTAGCAAAATATTTCTTAGAATGTGTTAATGGTATTTGAAATAAGTTAACACACACACAACCAACCCAATAAGATGCTAAATTGTCTTCCTCTTTGAGCCTGGAATCTTGGCTCTTCTTTTCCAAAGATGACATGCTGATCACCTACTGAACATAGTGGCCAATTTGAACATAATTGAGCATAAATTCTTTGACAGTTGAGAGTTTGTATTTTTGTAGCACCTCATGGATGTCATGGATATCATGGGAACTTTGGTGGCATAGTGCCTAAGGCATTTGACTGTTAACCAGAAGGCTAGCAGTGCAAACCCACCAGACACTCCTCGGAAGGAAGAATGGACAATCTACTGTAGTGATATTGCCTCGGAAACCCAAGAAGGGGTCGCAGTGAGTTGGATCTGACTCGATGGCAGTGAGTTTCATGGATATCATAATAAGCAGCCATTATTAGTTGCCCAATTATGGTTGTCTGACATTCCTGACTCTTTAGATGGTGCATAAGATAACCTTTATTCTCTCCCTTGTAGAATGTGCACAGGAACTTTCTGTCATCTTGTAAATGAGGAGGATGTCCCTGAAAGATAAGACTTTTATTAAGTGATCTCAATCATTAAGCCAGGCAGTCTTACCTTCAACCACATCATCCGAGTACCTAAAAGATGGCTGACACCATGGGAGCCCCTGTGAAGGCAAGGGATTTCAAAGGCTAATAATGACGTCAGGAATACGATGTGCAGCACGGATTTGCAGCTGCCTCTTTCACAGCCCAGTGGCTCTCAGACCTTAGTATGCACAGGAATCACCTGGACAGCCTGTTAAAGCAGAGTTTCCATCCCCAAAGATTCTAATTCAGTAGGTTGGGCTGGGGCCCAATAATGTACATTTCTAATAAACTCACAGGTTATACATTGTGTTTCAAGAAGAAAAAAAAAAAAAAAAAAAAATTCAAGGCCAAGGGGATTGGAGAAGTCTCAGAGGCTCTGGAATGTGACTTGAAGGAGAAGAGACAAGTAACTTAAATTGCTTTGTAAGGTTTGATCAAAATCATTACTATTTTAATATTAATTGTTATTATACTAATAAAGAGTCTGGAACTCATGCTCAGATGCCAATATTCCTGCTCCAGTGGCCACACTTTGAGAACCACTGTTCTAAACTAATGATTCATTCTGTTGTTTCCTTAGTGAGTAACTTTCAGCTATACTCACTCCTCTAAATATTAAGGTTCCCCAACATTCTGGAGCTAGAAAGATACAGGCCAATTTGGGCCAATTGGAATCGCACACATTCCACATAAATGAAATCTGTGGGGACTTCTGCCTGAAGCTACCATGGAGTAGCTTGCAGCAGATCAAATATATATGTATATGTTTAGAGTGATACTGAAAGAGAGAGGGCATGAGCAAGAGAGAAACAAAAAAGTCGAGGAGCATGGGAGAGCTGCTAAGAAGAGCTGAGTGGTCAAAATTCCTTTCTTAAGAGATAGGAAATCCACTGGGGTAAGTCCAACATTCCATGCTGTATTTCCCCTTCAGAACTCTGCCAGTTCATATGCCACACTGAGTAAGAGGTTCTGATTCCCAGAGGAAGGCCAAGCAGAAAGTGTTGACTAAATAGCTGTTGGTACACGCACAGTCCAAGAGTGATGGAAATTGGACTTCAGGACTAATAAGGCAGCTAGATTTTGCAAAGTCAAATCCTAGAGAGAAGGGAAGCATGGAGAAGTAGCATAATTTCCTGTTTTTTCTCTTTGAGGTGTTTGTCAATTCCTAAATGATACAAGTGGAGTAGGAGGTAGTCCCCAAAAGCATAAGAAGTTAGGGAAAGTTTTAAGCAGCATCACATTTTAGGGGAGACAAGACATGAGCTCGGGTGTCAAGAGGGATAGCCCTAGAACTAGTTTCTTGGACTCCCAGAAACTCTTTGCTAGGAGCAAGGACAAAGCAGAATTAGACCAGGCTTTCTCAGCCCTGAAGGAGCTCTGGTAGCACAGTGCCTAAGGCATCTGACTACTAAGCAGAAGGCTGGCAGTTCAAACTCACCAGCCATTCCATGGAAGCAAGACTGGGAAATCTACTTCCATAATGATTTACCACCTCTAAGCCCTACATGTTCTACCTATTATATATATATATATGTGTGTGTATATATATATATATATATATATATATATATATATATAT